TCTTGATTACATCCTCCTTGGAATTATTCATATGGATTATCAAACTTTTCATTACTAACTATATATATATATATATATATATATATATATATATATATATATATATATGATGTACATTACATCTATTGGTACTGAATAAGACCGACGTACTTCGCGTTGGCTGAAATACATCTATACCCATATGAGGTAATTTTGGATTTTTTTATTGTGTAATTTATTTGCTCTGTTATAATAAATGCATTGAGCTCTTTTTGAGGATCAGTTTTAATAGTTGATATTATTAGGATCCACTTGGATTATATACCAATGGATTTATTATCTGTACTATATATATATATATATATATATATATATATATATATATGCGAAGAAATATAGTCTTAAGGTGTGCTATATTTATGGGATAAAGTGCTCAATATCAGAGATAGAGCGTGTGTAAATATAAAAGTGAACATAGAAGTCAACACTTAGGGCGACAGTCTGTTTCATGTTAGATGCAATCGTCAGGCCACGTGGCCTGACGATTGCATATAGCATGAAACAGACTGTCGCCTCTATGTTGACTTCTATGTTCATTTTTATATATATATATATATATATATATATATATTATTAAATATTTTTTAAAATATGATTCTATGGCTACACAGAAAATTCTGTTTCAAAACTGAAATTAAATTGTAAATTTAATTATAAAAAATTAACCTTAAAATCTATAGTTTTGTTCAATTGTTTTTAAAAATCAAATAATTGCTAAGAACACCGGATTATGAATCTTACTGTTCTTTCTTATTTTTTAATATATATATATATATATATATATATATATATATATATATATATATATATATATATATATATATATATACATATATATATATATATATATATATGTATGTATGTATGAAATAACGGTATATATTTTTTATATATCAGGTCAAAATTGGGGAAAATTTATGATAAAGTGGAGAAAGTTTTATTGTAAGGACTTGCATGCGTGAATCGCTAAAATAGAAAAAAAAAAGAAGAAAGGACTGCATTTCCTCTGCAATTCTCTGCTCAAACGCAGCAAAAAATATCCGTTTTTTAAAAGAACGATCAGGGGCGATGATAAATCTAATGTTTGCAACAATATGGGACAACAATGTCATGGGAAAAACGAAATGCGTCACCATTAATCATTCCAAAAAACAGTCTGTAGCCCCCACCCCCAAAAGTGATGCTTTATATGGTACTGTATATCAAGCTTCTTCTCCAAAACTAGAAGTTGAATTTAGACAAGGTCTGTTCCCAAATGGGTCGAATAAAAAGACGCAATTGAATGAAAATATCCGGAGTTGGCCAATCGAAACGGAGTCGTCTTATATCAGGGCAATCCCAGAACTCACATCTCTTTACAGACATGGATGGAATTGGTAGATGTCCAACTGCATCCACAGGTATTCAACCGAACCATGTACCTTCCTATTTTTACTTATTTCAAACACCGCAACATTCTCCTAATGGGAAAATTTTCAATTCTTTGGAAGCCTGTAAAAGCCACATAGACCAATTCATTACTCAGAAACATGCCAAGTTCGATGAACATGGAATAATGAAGCTGCCTCAAAGATTAAGAAAGATAGAATAACAAAATGATGCGCATGTTGTTTAACAGATCTATATGCAAATATCTAAATATTAATTTTGAAATTCACCTAAAATCGCTGCGAACTTTTGCTTCGTCACTATATATATATTGTTGAGGGGCCCACCCCTTTTTACACAAATGGACTGACCTAGTATATACATATACAGGAAGACCCGAGAGCAAGACAAGAGTCGAGTCGAGTCCAGAATCACAGAGTGAAAGGTTGTAGGTAATCGGAAGAGTGAGGGTGAGGTAACAGCGTTATAGGAGTCACAGTGAGCGAGCACGTAGACTCAGTAAGAAGTCATACAGCGATACTTCAATACCAAAGACTGTATATATATTTTGCTACTAACCCGTATTACTGGAACTACTAATCTGTTTTTACCAGTTTGTATTATTACGTTAATACATTATTTTCCTATATTCATTCCTGGCGTTTGTTATTTAGTGGTACCGGATTTCAACCCGGAATCACAACACACACACACACACACACACACACACACACACACACACATATATATATATATATATATATATATATATATATATATATATATATATATAATAAATACTTCCGCTGATTTCTGACAACCTCATTCAGTTTTTATGTTTGTTTCGTATGTGACACTTCAGTCCCGCTAGTGTCCTGCATACAAGCACACATATTGTACACAGGAATATTTGCTGACGCTTTTCATCGTTGTCTTTCGCTTAGTAGCGTTCAATATTTCAAAATTTCTGATGCCACTCTGGCAGAAATATCTCCAGTTATTTCTATCCAAGACAACTTGCTTGAAGTTAGTACGAGGCACATTGACAACTGAAAGGTGACTCTTTAGCTTGTCTTTATACCTGAGCCGCAGCCGTCCAACGTTCCTTTGTCCACTGTCGAGGACCTTATACTGTCATCACTCATACTTTCAACAAGACCAGCTCAGTGAAGATGTGACTGCATCAGGAAAGTCTCAATTCATAGATTGTGGACGGAGAAAACAAAACAACACTACATGGGGAAAGGCAGTTTCACATTTTAACCGATCATCTATCTATTCTGATGATCATTTAAAGCGTGAAATTTCCAGTTAACATCTAATGTTGATTTTGTTATATCCACATTGTTTAGATCTACAAACTCCGATAGTAAAATGTCTGTTCTAATAACGAAACCAACATTTATACAATAGAAAACAGAAAGTTATATATATATAATATATATATATATATATATATATATATATATATATATATATATATATATATATATGACAGGAACGGATCTTAGTCCAACACGTTTCACTTTATTAACAATTCATCAGAGAACAAGATAGAAATGATAAAAAAATGATAAAAAGCAGAGACACAGATTAATGGTATGTTGTGTCTGGTTATTTCTTATTGGTTAGATACCTGTCACGTGTAATGTAGCAACAGATAATATTCAAATATGTGTGAGAAACATTCTGGATGCTAAAGTGTGTAAAAGTTAGTGGAACGATGCAGGATCATTTAAAAAAAATTGTTTTGCTTTGATTTTTCATTAAAGCATATCTTTTAAAAAGAACTACATTATTTCACAGATCCATTATTGATGTATCTAACTTATCTCTTTCGAATACATGAATATATATATATATATATACAAAATTCGCACAAAATATGTTTTCAGAAAAAATTATAGATTAAATTCAAAAAAGCCCCTTGAATGGGGGAATATCAATTGCAATTAACCCCATACATAAATATAATTAGTCAAAACATCAGCTAGCAATTAAAAAGGTAATTAAACGTAACTATGATAAATGTAACAATAAGAAAATAAATAGAACATTAAATATAGAAAAATATAATTTTAAATTAAATTTAAAGAATCCCTTTGAAGAGGGAAATATCAATTACAATTGACTCCATTCATAAACATAATTAAAACAAAAGAGGTGCATGTTTATAAAGTCGTTGTTTCCATCCCCCACCCCACAGAAATCCCAGTATAAACATAGTGGTTTGATCTATTTTCTTTGGGGTAAATTGTAGCTTATGTTCATATTGGGATTTCTGCGGGGCAATGGAAACAACGACGTTATAACCATAAACACAACTTTTCCAACCCAAAACACCAAACTGCTCTTTCCGAAAAATACTGCGAATGGAGGGTGAAAAACTTGAACCCCCAAATTGACTAGGAATTTAAGGGTTTTGCTCAAGTATCTTTAAGAGTAGATGTAACTTGTGTTTAGAAGAGAAAATTAGAATTATTAAATTATTGAAAATCAAATTATTTTACTAAATCAAAGGAATGAATTGCTAGGAGTATATATATATATATTTGAATACTTGTAGGAACATATATATTTGAATACTTGTAGGAGTATATATATTTGAATACTGGTAGGGCATATATATATATATATATATATATATATATATATATATATATATATATATATATATATATTTGAATACTGATAGGAGTATATATATTGCATTTACATCTTTATATTATTCTGTTGTTAATTTTATGAATGAAATAAAAATATAACCGTGAAATGAAAGTCGACGAATTTTTAAGGTTTTATTTCATGTTTTTTGACTTTATTTTTGCTTTTTTTCATTTTGGGAAAATTTTAAATAATCTCAAACTTAATAGGTTTTTTTTTAGATGATTTGAATTTAATGTTCTACCAGACGGCGATATTTACTTTGTCAATTTCCCATTTCGATTCTTATCTGAGCATATATGGGTGTGTCACAGAGAGACAGAGAGAAAGAAAGACAGACAGACAGACAGTTTATATATATATATATATATATATATATATATATATATATATATATATATATAGACACATGGGTATAGAAATATACATACGCTTGAGTAAATATATAACTTTCAGTCTTTCTATCTCTGCCTTTCTTTCTTCTAATTATCTTTATACTTTTATTGTCTCCCCCACCTCTCTCTCTCTCTCTGGCACATACATATAAAATAAGTTGTCGTATTTTGTTTCCAGTGTTGGTGGTGAGTTTTAAATTAAACAGGCTGAGATTTGAATGCATATTTGACGAAAACGGTAAACAATTTCTTGCATCAACTCATGAACACACACGAGCGCCTGCACACGCGTTCACACGCATATAGGAAGTGCCCGAGACCATGAGGCTCGGGTTCTAACCTCACCAAGGTCGATTTGTCAGGGAGTTAACTCGATGTCATTGGTCGGGGGAGGAGACCATACCTCAGGATACCTCGGGATTAAATTGTGGAGACAGAAATCTGTCGATGGTTGTGCTAGCACGAAGTCGTAAGTCATCGTGGTCGAGGCATTGAGCGCATTGGCGTCGTTCAAACTGCTGATCATGAGAAATTATGCGCCTTTTCACAGAAACTGTAACACAATCCCGCCCAGCACAGACGAGGGTATCCGGTTATTATCTATCTATCTATCTATCTATATATCTATCTATCTATCTATCTATCTATTATCTCTTTAATTTATTCCAATTTATCAATCTATCTATCTATCTATCTATCTATCTATCTCAGTTTGTCGGTATCTATCTATCTCAATATGTTAATCTTTCCTTTATGCCAATCTATCTATCTATCTATCTATCTATCTATCTATCTATCTATCTATCTCAGTTTGTCGGTATTTATCTATCTATCTATCTATCTTCCATCTATCTATCTCTATTTATCTATCTATCTATCTATATATCTATTAATCTATTATCTATCCAGTTTGTTTATGCCAATCATCTATCTATCTATCTATCTATCTATCTATCTATTAATCTATCTCTTTTAATCTTTCCTATTTATGCATCAATCTATCTATCTATCTATCTATCTATCTATCTATCTATCTATCTATCTATCTATCAGTTTGTCGGTATCTATCTATCTCAATATGTTAATCTTTCCTTTATGCCAATCTATCTATCTATCTATCTATCTATCTATCTATCTATCTATCTCATTTATCTATCTATCTATCTATCTATTAATCTTTCTATTTATCAATCTATCTATCTATCTATCTATCTATCTATCTATCTATCTCTGTTAATCTTTCCCTTTATGCCAATCTCATCTATCTATCTATCTATCTATCTATCTATCTATCTATCCATCTATCTATCAACATGTTAATATTTCCTTTATGCCAATCTATCTATCCATCTATCCATCCATCTATCCATCTATCTATCATCCATTAATCATCTTTCCCTTTATTCATCCAATCCATCTATCTATCTATATATCCTTATGCCATCCATCTATCCATATCTATCTATCTATCCATTAATATCCATCTATTTATTTATCCCAATCTATCTATCTATCTATCTATCTATCTATCTATCTATCTATCTATGTTAATATTTCCCTTTATGCCAATCTATCTATCTATCTATCTATCTATCTATCTATCTATCTATCTATCTATTCATTAATCCATCCCTTTATATCAATCTATCTATCTATCTATCTATCTATCTATCTATCTATCTATCTATCTATCTATCTATCTATCAGTATGTTAATATTTCCTATTTATCCAATCTATCTATCTATCTATCTATCTATCTATCTATCTATCTCTGTTAATCTTTCCCTTTATGCCAATCTATCTATCTATCTATCTATCTATCTATCTATCTATCTCTCATTATCAAGTAATTGGTTAAGAAATAACAAAACAAGTGGTTGCAGATAAATAGTGTATTGAATAGCAAATACAACAGAAGTGGGTTACACGACTTGGGAGTGTGTGTCGGTTGATCAGCGTTCAGTTTATATCACTGTCTCCCCCCCCACCCGGGGGCTTACTTTTCCTACTACTATAGTAAGGGCAAGAGTCCATAACTAGTTAGATAGATGATTTGCTGTTTTCCCCTCTGCCCCCTTTTCCCTTTCAATGTGTACTGTTCGTGTCAAATTCGCCAACGCCTCTTTCCTCTTTATGTGCCCGAGATTCGAAGTTTCAATTTTCTTTCTATTTCTATTTTCTTTAAAACGTCCTCGTTGCTCCTATATTCCGTCAATGGCATTCACAGAATCTTCTCTCGATCCACAGATCTGTTGTTTCAGGTTTCCTCTATGAGGAGATTGTCCAACATTCACTAGGAGGACTGATATTGCGTATCAGTTCAGCCCTTTTTTTTTTTTTTTTCTCTAAAGAACGTTTCCTATTTCTTAATATTAGCCTATGGAAGGCATCATTTGCTATGCCAATACATCTTCGGATTTCGGTGTCACATTTTACGTCCTCTGTTAAAATAGTTTCAAGTTATTTAAATTGTCTTATATGCTTGATTTTGACATCACCAACGCATGGTTCGCTTCCTGGCATCTTCGTCCTGCTGACAACTCTACACATTCTGTTAATTGATAGTTTCTTCTCACAACGCCGAATTAAATTCAATCAAAGTTGTAATTCAGTCTTACATGATTACTTTCAATTTATATAATTGGTACCACTCATCTATCTATCTATCTATCTATCTATCTATCTATCTATCTATCTATCTATCTATCTATCTATCAGGGTGTGCTGAAAGGCCGTCGGTCCGACCTTCTCTAAATCTGATCAAATGACCCAATATCTATCTATCTATCTATCTATCTATCTATCTATCTATCTATCTATCTATCTATCTCAGTCTTTTAATCTTCTCGTTATGTCAATATACTTCTATCTATCTATCTATCTATCTATCTATCTATCTATCTATCTATGTGCGTGCATGTCTATCTTTGGTATAAGCACTTATCAATGTCGACCGTCCTTTATTGATACACACAACTTTGATTCTATTTTTATAAACGCACGCACACACATTAAAACAAGGAGACACATACACACATCTCTCTCTCTCTGTATATATATATATATATATATATATATATATATATATATATATATATTTACACAATATGTATGTATGTACATTCGAGCGACCGAGTGTGTGTGTTGTTTCGGGCGCCACACGGTTCGCTTGCCATTCCCGAGAATGCCAATACTGAAGGCGGCACCGGCGGCGTCTGCGCAGGCCGCGTCGGTGATGGTTGCCCGCGTTTCTTAATCGTCAGGCCAGGGTCATTCGGTGCATTTTTCGAACGCACTCAATGCCCTCCGCTGTCGTTCAAGGTGTGTTAATTTTCAAGGCGGTTAGATGGGTAAGTTGATGAGGGTGAGGTTGCAATGGGGGTGGGTGGGTGATGAATTATGGAGGACCGTGGGTGTGGGGGATTCTAGTAACGTTGCCTAAGAGTAGTCAGCCAGTCAGGTGGTGCCAGTGGGATTTTGGTTTGTTTGTGTCGACCTGTGATGAAAATGAAAGAAAGATGAGGAAAGGAAAAGACGACAGAACACTTCACACACAAACACACACACACACAACATCGCGCGCACGCAGGTACACCCGCAAATCACAAATTATACACTCGCAGTCATATGCAATAAATTAATGCACATATATACCTGCACACGCACGCAGAATTATATATTCATAAATATGCAAAAAACTAATGCAGACGTAACTGCAGAATCAAGCAGGCATATACAAAACATCTATCTATCTATCTATCTATCTATCTATCTATCTATCTATCTATCTATCGTAGTCTGTTAATCTTTCTATGTCGATCAGTTTCTATCTATCTATCTATCTATCTATCTATCTATCTATCTATCTACCCTGGTCTGTTAATCTTTCTATGTCGATCTATCTATCTATCTATCTATCTATCTATCTATCTATCCTGGTCTGTTAATCTTTGTATGTCGATCTGTTTCTATCTATCTATCTATCTATCTATCTATCTATCTATCTATCTATCTATCAGTCTGTTCACATCTATCTATCTATCTATTGTCATAGAGGATATGCAACAAACTAGTATATTTTATGAATACAACACACATGCACGCACACACGCACGCGCGCTCACACACACATACACAAACACACATATATATCATACAACATGCATATGGAGATGTATGTGTAGATGCATGCGTATACGAATGCAAGTAATAATGTCGCACAATTGATACGTGCCTGTAGATGCATGTTATTTCCATAGATTATAAATTAAAGCATAATGATAGAGACTGACAGATTTCAGATGAGCTTAGAAGAAAAAAATTATATGACAGGTGAGAACGAGTAGTAGTCTGCAATCAACTGGCAGACATAGAATATATATATATATATATATATATATATATATATATATATATATATATATATATATATACCTTCATATTTATATATTTTATTTTATATATATACCTACATATTTATATATATATGAGTTGAGATCAAATATAGATCAAATATGGATGTGAATACGACAGGATGATAAAATAAAGAACAAATAGGAAATAGTTTATGAATCTAACATGTTTCAATTTTACTAAAGCTTTATCAGGGAATGCTATACAGTGTGACCCGGATATAAGAGAGTTGTCGGGACCGGAGAAGAAGTCTCTTATATCCGGGTTTCTCTTATATCCGGGTTTGGTCTATTTTATATACATTAACGCAGGCTCTAATTTGGGACCAGAGAAAATCTCTCTTATATCCGGGTTTCTCTTATATCCAGGTCTCTTATATCCGGGTTACACTGTATGTAGAAAAAGAAGAAAGGAATTCTGTTTTGTTTTTTTTATTATTATTTTTGGATTATTTGATTTTCATTAGTTAATCCTGTTTCGCGTGCATTCATCTTTAATCTATGGAGTTCTGAATTCAAGGAGAGACAATATGTCCATCCAAAGTTTCAAGAAATCAACAGATTCCAAACCTATCTGAAAAAATATAGATATTGCTATATGTGTGTAAGTGTATAAAAATTCTAGTTTCTCTATGTGGGAATCAGATGATAATATATATTCGTGTGTGTGTGTGTATTTTTAGTAGACATACACACACGTTTGTTGATTTTTCTCATATTGATATGGGAACATTATTATGTGCATATCATTTGTTTTAGATAAACATATGTTAGATTCTTTGAGAATGGATTCAATAAACGTTGGTGATGTAATATAATGTTTTTGATGTCTGTTTATAGTTGGTAATATTGCTATTAGCAGGCTCTTGAAGTACTTTATCTCTAAAGAATTGTTCTTTTTAATTAGGGTGGCATTTGTAAAATCAAAGTTATGAGCAGTTTTGTTCCTGTGCATTACATAAGAGTTTGAATGGTTGTCTAAATGGAAATCTCTTTTCTGATCGTACATACGGACTTTTAGATCACGTGATATCATTCCGACATAAATACTTTTACATTGTAAGAAATTTGTTTGATAAGTACCGGCATCTGAATTGTGGTGTTGCATTTATTTTTGATGTGGGGCCAAAGTCGGGACCACAGAAGGAAAACACGGAACACGGATTAGATGTAAGAAAGACAAAACTTGAGTACAATGGTAGTACTTGCTCTTGTATTGTCAGTTTGTTTTATGAACAACTGTTTTTTTTTCTGTGTGTGTGGGTGTAAGAATTCGTTCTTGTTATTTGGACAGACTTTAATATTCCGTCGATGTCGAAACACTGCTCGTCACTGATGTTTGGTATAAGAATATATATATTTTTTTAATATGTAGACGCTGGGTGTTGCGTTTAAATCGCTAATGTAGTAATACCAGCTTAATTTCTCGTTCAACACTGCTGTGGGAACGCGTGGAGTTTCAGTGTATTTTTCGAGTACTCTGTCGCTATTGATATGGTGAGAACGAAATTCTCGAATCTTTCTGTCGCCACTGATGTGGGACTGGCAAAGTATTGCGGTTTTCGACGTGAATGCGTTTCTCGAATTCTTCGTCGACACAGATGGGGAACTGGTAAGGTATTGAGGTTTCGCCGTGAGTGCGTTTCTCGAATCCTCGTCGCCACTGATGTGGGGCCAAAGTTGGGACCACAGAAGGAAAACACGGAACACAGATTAGATGTAAGAAAGATATATTAACAACAGGTTACAGAGATAGTGTAAGCAGAGCTTACGATATGTTAGTGTCCAACACTGGTAGTCGTATGCGACTCTCACTGTCGCTTAATCTCTGTGTGTCACTCTCTGTCACTATGTAGAGTGCTATGTCGCCTACTTAATATAGGCCTGGAAGAGTCTATTGTGTAGGTAGTTTCCGGTCTCACCATAATTTTTCTTCTAAATTATATCTTCGGTTGTCTTGGACGTGGTCGTAAATATCCTAGTATTATGAATACATAATTTTATTTACAAATTTTGTAGAAAGTGTGTTACAAGGTAGAATTATAAATTGCATGTTGTTAGAAATTCTGTTGGTGGTGTCTATTGGACTTGTAAGCTCGTTTTCTAGTGTTGAGGATGAAATGATCTGGCTAGTGAATAAGTCTAAATGTTTTCTCATATTCTTCGTCCAAATATTCCGGGCTGCATATCCTAAGAGTTCCGAGAAAGAATCCTATGACTAATCCTGATTTTATTTTTTGACTATAACGAAAGGAAATTAATTAGATCGTTTTTGTTAGTGGGTTTACGATAAACTCTAAAATCTAATTTGTTATTGTTACGTATTAATAAGATGTCGATGAAAGGTAGGGATTTATTTAATTCAAATTAATGTGTCAATTCGATGCCAGATCCAACGTTATTAAGAATCTTTATGATATCTAAAGATGACATAAAAAAAAGAAAATCATCTATGTAATTAGATAAGTGCAGTTTATAGGTATAATGTGTTAAAATGGGCCGGACTCTAACAATTCCAGGAGATGACAATTAAGAACACCACTAATCGGGGTTTCAATAGGGAAACAGAATTTTGGTTTATGAAAAGTTTTATCGAAAGGTATATACTTAACAGCTGTGTTATTTAGCATTGAGCACTTTTTTTGCACCAAAGGATATATGTACATGAACACTTACACGTACATTTATTTATATTTATTATTATATATATATATATATATATATATATATATATATATATATATGTATATGTATATGAAGAGAGAGATAAAAAGAGAGAGGCCAATAAAAGTAGTAGTAGTAGTAGATAAAGAGATAGAGAGAATGAGATGTCTTGCGAGTAATGAACTGTCATGAATTTTAGGCTCTGGATCTTGATTGTTATTCGAACTCAAACGCCGAATTGCAGCAAACTGCTTATCTAGTTAGATAAACACCCACCCCAAAAGCAGTAGATAGGTTCGCCTATCGTCCAGTTCACACTCCTCAACGACCTTTTGGACAGGAGTGAAGGTTTATCCCTTATTTTTTGTTTAGGATTGGGTTTCCGGTTCCTTATAAAGTTTTCTCATTCTCTTTCACTCGCAGTAACCCATTGCGTCTTAGTGACATTCTCACCTAGCTACACAAAAATCACACAACAAATTCACATGTACATCGTCATATATATATATATATATTTTAAATTGTCGGACCTTGTCCATTTCTTAACATATAAGGCAGGATGTGTGTGTGTGTGTGTGTAACGAATGCACGGTCGCAGTTTTCGACGGATTTGTGCCAAAATTTACAAGCACATGCTCCAAGATAGCGGGAAGGCCATGACCGACTTTGCATTTCCCAACTCCCATCGATAGTGAAAATAATCGATTTTTTCATGCTTCTACGGCAGTTTTCATGTAGTTTGCGGCCATTTTGTACTAGCCAGAGTGAGAGCTAATAGCTGGCTGCCACGAATAGGCAGGAAGATTCTATTGGCCAGCGTGAGAGCCAACAGCTGACTGACACGAATGTTAACTAGCATGCTAGCATGCAAAAAAAAAAAAAACAGATAGCTGCATTCGTCACAAGTGGGAAAAATTTAAATCTGCATGGCACTTTACTCCAATTGGCTCATTCGCTTGCTTAAACTCAACGTTGATTCTGATTCCGCAGAACTGGGTTGGATGTGAAAAAGTATTTGTTGTTAACATTCTTTTTTCATTCGGTTTTTCCAGTTACGATTCCTTTTTTAAAGCTTGTCGTTTAGTGTTCATTTTGTTTAGTTCTTTTTTCGTAACAGATTTAATGTTTAGTATAGAGCTTAGAAAAAATTTGCAGTGTGAGATAGGCAAGAAGTAAGGCATATAGCAACATCAGCACGGCAAAGGGCACTTCTTTAAAGGCAAGGAAGGGCAAAAATATTTTAAGTCAAGTGATAGCAATTGCTGTATGAGTCGTGCGATTTTTGAATCAAGCACGGGCAACCCCGGTCCATGCTGTTAGACTGCATATATATTTACGAAAAATTTGAGTATGGTCATAATCATATCGTTAATATAAATCAGAAAGAGTGTACACCAGCATTGATTCCATGTGCTCCAGAGGATTGGCCATTAACGACGACTTTCATGGACCTACCTGAAAGGAAAGACTTGATAATTAAGAAGATTCTTCCATAGCTGGAGAATTTGTGCCGTTGATATAGGTTGATATTGTTGATGTTGATATACATGTATTGATATATACAGGCTGATTATCTTCATATGACATGTATACAACCATTTTATAAGCACTTCTCATTTGACATTGATTTTATTCTTGATAAAATTACTCAGAACAGGAGACTATTTTTATATAGCCTTTGCTTCTCACGTTCAAACAAAATAGATAAATAAAAGACAAAAAAAACTTCGAGAAAAAAATTAAAAAGTTAACTTGAAATATTTTCATAACTTTTAGCAATAATAATGTTCAGGTTAAAGAAAATGTCAGTGGAATCCATACTGAAAATCTGGGTCGGTCTCTTTAAAGGAATCCAAAGAAAACAAATCAGGATGTATCAGATCAGATATTTAATGGTTCGATTCTTTAATTTAGAGATGAAGATGAGAATTAAATTTCGATAATGTAGAAAAACACTGAACTGTCATTTCAAACGACTGAATCTTTTGTTGGCTGAATCTTTTTGTTCATAAGAAATGTCAAATGCATCTTTTTTTTTTCAAAATGGCTTCGTTTTAAAGTCACCTTCACTTTTAGAAAAGAAAATTATATCAAAATTCTCTCTCTGCTATCCCTTTCTCTCTTTCTTTCTCTCTTATTGAACAGCGCAAGTTAATAATTTTCTTTCTTTCTATCTTTCTTTCTTTCTTTCTTTTCCTTGTCTCCTTTCTCACTTATTTGCGTATAAATTTCAAAATATGTCCTTTACTCATATACTCCCCGTTTTTTTGACACGCATACACACAAACGCGTCAGACGCAAGTTGATATATATATATATATATATATATATATATATATATATATATATATATATATATATATATATGAATGAAGAAATATAGTTTTAAGGTGTACTATATTTATGGGATAAAGTGGTCAATATCAAAGATAGAGCGTATGTAAATATAAATATAAAAGTGAACATTGAAGTCAACACTCAGAGGCCACAGGCTGTTTCATGCTAGACGCAATCGTCAAGCCGCTGATTGCGTCCAGCATAAAACAGCCTGTCGCCTCTGAGTGTTGACTTCAATGTTCACTTTATATATATATATATATATATATATATATATATATATATATGTTGCATGAGATTTGGTAGATGCAAGCATCGGTTTTTTGTTTGTTTTTTCAGTATATTTTTCTTCATACTGTCGGATCTATATCCATATATTTGCTTACATATATATATATATATATATATATATATATATATATATATATATATATATCAGAAATTATTTTCTCTTTTTTTCACATTTTTTCTTTAGATTCTCACGTTCGAGTTCTTCTCCAAGGTCACTTACTAGGGACTTTCTGTCAATGCTTTCGAACAAGAAGGCACACACCGCTATATGGCAGTTACACGCATTTACCTTGATAAAATCCAAAGAAAAATCAATATTATCGGTCCTGATCTGGCTCTTCCACCGCCGTAAGGTTGCCTCTCTGTGTCTTTTCTATAAACACTTTCATGGTAATTGTTCAGATGAGCTCTTCGTTATGGTACATAGACTTTTTGAATTTAAGCGCAGTACTAGACTGGCTTCATCAATTTACAACTGAGCTGGTTAGATGTAGCCGTAAGTTCTATGCTAACAGTTTCTTTTCTTGCACTTCTCACTCATGGAACTCTCTTCCAGCCCCATGATATCCAGCCAACTTTAATTTGCTAAAATTTAAATGCTATGTCAATCGCAATCTACTGTCCTCCTGATTACTCTCTTCTCTGCCCGCTCATTAGTAATGTTTCTGTTCCTAAGTCTTCTACACCTTGTAACCCATTGTGTCTTAGTGGCTTTACTGCCTTGCATGGGGTGATACCGATTTAAAAAAAATGTTACGTGAAAAAAGCAATAAAAGTCCTGATTTATTTATTTCATCCCAGATTCTCATTTAGTTGCTTGTAATTCATTTCAACCAGGGTGTTTTCTCCACCCATTATCGGGTGCGTCTCATATACGGTAATTCTCTCATCAGACGCCACTCTTTATTCAGCTCACTTTCGTTCCAGTGCGTTTAATATGCATCATCTTGTGGAATCTTCCACGTTTGCCAGTCATCCCCGCGGGGAAATGCACTCTTCCCCTGTGGTGATTATCATCACATACATACAAATCACGCGACAAGCATTCATTGGTTAATCTCCTCAAAACTAGCTCGCTGATTGGTCAATTCCGACCAATCAGATCGCCTGCACGCGATGAATGGTATTGCCCACGTTTTCGATCGGAGCCGATCACGTGATACCCAGCCTTATATAAAAAAACACACGTGTAAGCTCTCTCTCTCTCTCTCTCTCTCTTGCGTCTCATTCTTGCTGCTAAAAATGTAACCTTCAAGATCGCCCGTCTTAACCATGCGATCAGACGTTAAAGATCATTACCAGCACACAGGCAAGTACAAGCAGTCAGACTTTCACCCCTGGAGAGATGCCAAAATAATCCACGCGAGTCAAAACCTTGACCAACTACACTTTTACCGCGCAAATTTCTCTGACTCAGCTAACAACAACCACGCTCTCTCTCAGGAACAATTTCTAGCAATTACTTACAATACTTGAAAAGTGATATTTACTCACTACTAAATAAGTATTCGTAGACAATCAATCAAACATGAAAACAACTAAAGGTACACAACTCCTACCAATTCTGAACAATAACTTAAACAAACTTACGCACACACACTATAGATTGAACTCGTACAAAGGACATTTTTTGTACATAACCAAATACTTAATTTTACGAACAAATCTTAATAACAGCTTCACACACGCTGAAACTTCCCAAAAATACTCTACACAATCTAATTCAACCATCCCCATTTATCCAGAAATAATTCAACCCAATTGTATATGTCAATTGTATATAAATTAATGTTATTGTTGCACTTTTAATTATGTTTGTCTTCACTCTGAATTTTCTTGCATGGTTTGTTTTCAATGTTCCTTTTACCTCTTAATTTGTTATGGATGAATGTTTCAGAACACTGACATCATAAATCCTTCTGATAACTAAAAATAGATTCACCAGTCTGCAACAATCTGCTTTCACGGCATTTCATTGAATTTATATAGATTATTAAAATTACAATTGTTTATAATAAAATTCTATTCAATTGGTAGACTCAGAACGATTGAAAACAATGTTTTTGTTTGAATTTGGGTTTGACCAATTCGTAAAAAAAAAACAAAAAACAAAACAAGACAAAAAAAAAAACTAATTAAGACATGCGTGTCCGTTAACCTTAAACAATAATCTTTGTCAATTTTATTTTTCAGTCTTTATGATGGTCGATACTTGATCTATCTTTTACTGTTACATCCCTGGGCAACGCTGGGCTCTACTGCTAGTACTTGTAATATATGTTTATTTTGTGGTTGAATTATAAACAGTACTCCTTGTACAACAGATGGATAAATAACAATACTGAATTTAGTTTGAGCCTCTTATGTATCTAAAATAATATGATGCCTTTATTGTGTTTATAAAAATATGTGATGGATTAATGTCTAGGTCATCTGCAAGTGGGTATAATGAAGTTTTCATCTGACATTATTACTATTTCATATATGCCTTCACTTGTTTCTAGATATAGCTTTAATCTTTGGGATTTGATACAATCTGGGTTTTGATAGGGAATGTGAATTTTAATTTTCGATACTGCAAAATTAAATCCTGAAAGTACAAATTCCTTCTTTATACATTTCCACCAACTTCAACAATGTTTTCAGTTGAAACAGTTAATTTTGAAATATAAATTAAATAAGAATAATTCAGATTGATTTTTACGACTTGTAACAAGGAATAAGAAAGATATGTAGGGGTGGTGTTAACAATAAGAGAAACATAAACAGCAACACACACACAAACCTCCCCCACCCCCGAGAGAGAGAGAGAGAGAGAGAGAGAGAGAGAGAGATGAGAGAGGGAAAGAGAGAATGAGAGAATGAGAGAGGGAGAGAGAGAGATGAAAGATTGCACAATTGTGATCAGTTCAAAACTGGCAAACGGAGTTCAAATTCTCACTTAGGCAGCTCGTGTTGTTAACATAACACAAACTGAGTCAGAATTCGAACTGAGTTTGCTAGTAATATCTCTGTGAAAGGCATGAATCCATACCTAAGCGCTCTATTTTGTCTTGATGGTTGACGGAGAGGGTGTGATTGAAAATTTGGATAAACCGCTCACCCATAAACAACTTAATGGCCATGGAATAATAGCGTCAGAAACGTGGTAATACCCATTGTTAATTTTGGAACCTTCATGTCGCCTGCTTCATTAAACCGGCCAACTCGAAATTTTCGATTGAAGGCAAATTCTTCACCAAAAGGAGTTTACAATTGCTCTTTTCTCTCTCACTACTTTTTTTGCATCTAGAAAACTTCGTAAATTTATTCAATTCGAAAGTGTCAGATTCATTTTCTACGGAGGAATATCGAAATAATTGGTTAAGCGAAAATAAACTCAGCAAAAATCTCATTCTGAATATTTCCTTTCACACACCTTTGACAAAGATATTATTATTATTATTATTATTTACTCATTTTTGGTGTATACTTATTTCTTTCTGGGTCCCAACCAGAGACCTAAGACCAGAAATGGAATTATGTCATTTTCCACTGTGTATTTTTTTAGGAAAAACAAAATAAAAAAAACCCTAAGATCACACATATTTTACATAGATAAATGTCTTCGTAATGTATGAGCTGTTATATGGAGTACAATGTTTCGTATTTCTTTAAGACAAGGGATTCCAAGAATTCCTTTATCGGAGTCTTTGCCAGTCAAAGCAAAGGCTCCGACTACAAATGGAATTGTTGATATCTTCATGTGTCACCTTTTTGAGATTACCATTTCAAGATCCTTGTGTTTTGATAGTTTTTTGAAGATCTTCACAGACACGTTGCAGTCTGCAGGAACTGCCGTATCAATAAGAAAGCACATTTTCTTTTTGCAGCCTCTGATCACGATGTCTGGTCGATTATGTTTGATGATTCTGTCTGTGTGTCTTTCAAAGTCCCATAATGTTGTTACGGGTTCTATCTCCGTAACCGGGTCTGGGTGGTGTTCGTATCAATTTCTTGCATTTACCTTTCCGTAAAAGTTGCAGATTTTCCAATGCAGGTATTGGCCCAAACTGTCGGGTTTTATATTCAGTGATGTGCAACCTCACACAAGATGGTCAATTGTTTCTGGATACGCGACTCTGTTTCGGACTGCCTCTGACTCGACTGACTGACTCGCTCTGACTGACGGACTTCTGACGGACCTCACTCCAGACTTCAGACTGAACAGTATTTAGTCACCCCCCACCACGAGGGCATCATGTGGCACAAGGCCAGTTTAACCGGGGATCTCCGAGCCCGTGGGCTCGGCCAAAAATATGCCCTTTGAACCCGTATAAACGGGTTCAGGGTCGGTTTACCTCTCCGAAAGAGACTCCGCCCTTCGGCGTAGCCTCGTTCGGGTTCCTCCCCGCCCGAAGGCGGGATTTCAACCGATCAGCCGATCAGCCGGTCGCCCGACTTCAGACTGAACTCTCTGCTTCCTCTTGAGGCGCAGTATTTATTACGTATGGAATAGTCCCTTATGTTATTATGGGTAATGTCCCATAACACAAAGTCTTACGGATCCTAGACTGTAGCATACTATCAAACACTTTACGGTAATCTATCCAAGCTGTGCAGAGATTTCTATATATTTTCCTGCAATTTTCCAAGATCAAGTT